GGGGCATGAACTCATGGGGTGGTGGAAAGCAGATAGAAGTGATGGGGTTGGTGGAACTCCTGGTTCTTCTCATGGTGAACCCAAACCCACCTCAGAAGGAGGAACCAGGAGCACAAAGTCAGGGGGTGGTGAACAGGAAATGGAAGCCATGGGATTGGTGGAACTCCTGGTTTCTGTGTCACCATGGGATGAAATTGGAGAACCCAAAACCACCTCAGGAGAAGGAACCAGGAGGTCACCAGGGACATGAACTCATGGGGTGGTGGAAAGCAGATAGAAGTGATGGGGTTGGTGGAATTCCTGGTTCTTCTCACAGTGAACTCAAAACCACCTCAGGAGAAGGAACCAGGAGCACCAACCCCTGGGGTGGGAGAAGGGAAATGGAGATGATGGGGTTGGTGGAACTCCTGGTTCTCGTGTCACCATGAGGTGAAGGTGGAGAACCCAAACCCACCTCAGGAGAAGGAACCAGGGGCACCAACCCATGGGGTGGTAGAAGGAAAATGGAAGCGCTGGGATTGGTGGAACTCCCGGTTCTTCTCATGGTGACCTTGAAGAACCCCAAACCACCTCAAGAAAAGGAACCAGGAGGTCACCAGGGGCACCAACCTATGGGGTGGAAGGAGGAGATGGAGATGACAGGGTTCATGGAACTCCTGGTTCTTGAGCATGATGGGGTCACCATGGGGTGAAGTTGGAGAACCCAAACCCACCTCAGGAGAAGGAACCAGACCTGGAGGTCACCAGGAGCACCAACTCATGGAGTGGTAGAAAGGAGATAGAAGTGATGGGGTTGGTGAAACTCCTGGTTCCTCTCATGATGACCTCAAAGAACCCAAACCCACCTCAGGAGAAGGAACCAGGAGTACATAGTCAGGGGGTGGTAGAAGGGAAATGGAGATGATGGGGTTGGTGGAACTCCTGGTTCTTGTGTCACCATGGGGTGAAGTTGGAGAACCCAAACCCACGTCAGGAGAAGGAACCAGACCTGGAAGTCACCAGGAGCACCAACTCATGGAGTGGTAGAAAGGAGATAGAAGTGATGGGATTGGTGGAACTCCAGGTTCTTCTCATGATGACCTCGAAGAACCCAAACCCACCTCAGAAGGAGGAACCACGAGCACCACCCCATGAGGTGGTAGAAGGGAAATGGAGATGATGGGGTTGGTGGAACTCCTGGTTCGTGAGCATGATGGGGTCACCATGAGATGAAGTTGGAGAACCCAAAACCACCTCAGGAGAAGGAACAAGGAGGTCACCAGGATCTCAAGGAAGGGGAGAAGGATGGAGGTGATGGGGTTGGTGGAACTCCCAGTTCTTCTCGAGGTGAACCCAAACCCACCTCAAGAAAAGGAACCAGGAGCACCAACCCATGGAATGGGAATAGAAAGTTGGAAGCCATGGGATTAGTGAAACTCCCGGTTCTTCTCATGATGACCTCGAAGAACCCAAACCCACCTCAGAAGGAGGACCCACGAGCACCACCCCATGGGGTGGCCGACCAGAAATGGAAGCCATGGCCTTGGAGACCCCATAACCACGTGAGGACACCCGGTGCCACCCTCAGGTCCCGCCCCAGCAGAAGGTCCCCGTGGGCACCTGGAGGAAGCGGATGAGGTAGCAGAGCACCATCCTGTTGATGCGGGGCAGCGCCTGCACCACGGCCACGGCGGCCTCGGGGCTCTCGTAGTGGGAGATGCAGCGCTCGTAGAACTCGTGCGGGATCAGCGGCTCCTCCAGCTCGCGGTACCACAGCTTCAGCAGCGACGCTGCAGAGGACAACCCACCATGAGGACCTCCTGCCACCACCACCAAGGAAGGACAACCCACCACCCAACAAAGCCCCCCCAGGTCCTACCGGGAACGTGCGGGTCCTCCAGGCCGGTGGGGATCTTCCACTGGTCCACCTGGAGCTTGAGGGCGTTGACCTCGTCGATGTCACCGGGAACCCTGTGGAGATGGGATGGAGGGGGTGGTGGGGTGGGACCGGTGGAGAACCTGGTGGGGACGTCAGCTGGGCGTGGAGATGGTGGGGGCCACCAGGAGACCATCTTGGTGGCCACCATGGAGAAACCTCCATGGTCTTGGAGCTGTTCTGGGACCTTGGTGCCACCAAGACCTCACCATGATTGTGGTGGCCACCATGGAGAAACCTCCATGGTCTTGGAGGTATTCTGGGACCTTGGTGTCACCATGACTGGTGGACACCATGGAGAAACCTCCAT